GTCTCCCACCCTTTGTCTCTCTTGTCTACTTAGATGGTAAATGCTTCAGGTTGGAGACCGTTTCTTACTGTGTGTGTCTACAATGCCTAGCACAATGGGCCCTGATCTTGGTTGGAGTCTCTAGGGCACTATCCTAACACAAATAAATAATAACTAACACAACAATTAAGAACACCCAACTGATTAGACTTGGAGTGGGGCTCTGGCTGAGTGGTAGGAAGGATGGCTTTCACCTCCAGGCCATACAGTGCTGCTCCTCCAGGGCTGCCATTCTAGTGTAGCTGTTAACCACCCCCTACCCAGGATTTCTGGGCCACTGGATCTGTGTGATTGCAGATCATGTGACCAAAATCACAACCTGCCCCCAACCCTCTCTTTTGCCTAGTTTGGGGCCAGTACAGAGTCACCCTACATGAGGAGTACAAGATGTAGGCCCTTCCCCCACCTTCCAAGGCCTCTTTGTAGATCCCAACACTCTCAAATGGTGTGATTGTCTCACTCACCCTGGCTAAAGTAATGCACAGGGCCTTGCATGGCTGAGCACAATAGGGATGAATTCCATCCCGAAAAAGAAAACTAAAACTGTACTGTATTCTATTGGTAGTGGATGGATCAGGAAATATCAGAGGGTGAGCTGGATTCAGATACACATTCAAAGGTTCGGTTGCTTAACCAGACTTCTTTCCAGACAGGCTTTCTGCTGCTGGGCCAGGGGCGCTTTGGGCATTGAATCTGGATGACCGTGCCTTCTGTGGGACTGTCTATTAAAACTGAGTTTATTACCAAATATTTCCTTGCTGCACTTTTTTCTGTACAATTATTCTCAAATCAGTACTGTCTTGCAGCCCAATCTGGAGTATTTTGATGCAAGCCACAACCACGTGATCACCCTGGAGGGTATTAGAGGCTTAAGCAAACTGAAGTATTTAGACTTGAGCTGGAATCAACTGAAAAAGACTGGAGAGGAAATAAATGTCTTACGTAAACACACTTCAAACGTACTCAGTCTTGATATCAGACATAACCCATGGCATAAGGTATGTGTCAGTGCTTAAAATTCTCAGGAAAACCTTCTAGCCAAAACAATTAGACCTTGTAGTGCTAAATTTTGGGCCTGGTTGTCATTTACATTGAGGCCCCTTTACTCCACTCTGGCTGTGTAAGGGGCCTTAAAGTGGATGTATATGGAATTAGTGCCCACTTTAAAGATGCTTTACGCTGTCAGGCCCTTCTACTTTGTAAACAGTCCTGAGCAAGGGGTTGTGCATAATCTGCAGGAGTGGCTCCTAGAAGCATTGTGACTCAGTGACGCTACTCTGAGGCATAATTCCTCTCCTCCTTGCTTCTAGTAGGTGGTAACTTTACTGATGATCTATGCCAGCCGTAAACAGCCACCCTTTGCCCCCACTGCACTGGCTCAGCTGTGCTGGCCAGTGAAAGGGGCCAGGGCAGAGACAGATTCCCCCACTTTCAGGGAAAATATACAGTGCCAACCTTTTACCTGGTGACACATACATCCCACAGAGAAGCAGCCCAGCTGTGCTGGCTGTGGCATTGGGAAGCAATCCAAGACTCAGTCAATTTCACACCCTCTCCATCTGTAGAGACACACAGCTCCCGAATCGCTAGTTCACGGCTGCAGCACACTGCGCCCGTGGCTGCGAGGCCGGAGCGGCCTACATCCCCACACCTGTGATTGAGAAACTTATTGGCTGACCTAATCATCACCCTCGCTGCTCGCTTTCACGTGCACAAGATATGAGCTTGTTAAGTCATGTTGATGAGTATTGTATGCTCCTCCTATGCGCAAAAATTGAACCACTCATAAGTGTTGTAAATAGAGAAGTAAGAAAATAAAAACCCCAGTGGAAAGTCCCTGGGAGGCTTTTCGGCTACCACGACCTGGCGCTCTGTCGCCTTCCTTTTTCGTCGCCACATCCATCCATTCCCTGACTACCTGCGTAGTCCTCTTCTCCTGAATACTTGGATCCAAGCGCTATGTAGCCTAGTTAAGAGATGTGCGTACTCCTTCGTTCTCCCATGCACAGGTGCATAGTCCCATCTAGTTTATAAAGATTACATTGATCATCATTATTCTGGTCGTTTCAGTAAGTCTATTTTCCCGCTAGAAATAAGGATGTTGTTATTCACTTTCCTTACGAGTATGATTATCCAGTCTGTGTTTTTCTTGCACTATATTTAATTTAATGGGAATTTTAAAATGTTTCTGTATAAGAGTTAGGGCTGTAATTCCACCTTGAGTTTAGGCTCACACGTCCAAATCTCTTGAGCTTCTCTTTCACCTCCTCTGAGGTTATCAAATTCCTTGCATTTAATAATACTTGTAGTACTTGCAAACTTCTGGCTTATAAGGAAGGTGCTAACAACTTTGTTATTGTACTGCACTTAATGTCTTACATAGCCATGTATAATTACAATCCTTCAGGGCTAGATTTTTATCTCATACACGCATGTAAATCCAGAGTAATTTATTGACATCAGTGTCACATTAGATCAATGTAAACAAACCTAGCCCAAACATATGTTGTTCCTTATAGTTTTGTACAGGTATGGCAAGACTCAGCCCCTTCCCCACCCCTTTTCACCCATTCCCAATCCAGATGAGCAGGGAGGACATAGCAGCCTTGTGGAGGCTGCTTTCCCATGCACACTGCTACCAATGGTAGGCGTAGCTGGGACATGGGAGCAAGGGGCGCATCTTATGTCTCCTTTTTTACGTTCTTGTGTGAGCACACAGGATGGACCACAACCTAGCCCTGAGCATACATAATACGAGAGGAGACTGGCTTGAAAGGAATCATATGTCCTTTTTTTGTATGTAACCGTATAGACAATTTTAAAAACTCAATTACATCACTTTGCTTTTTTTTCTCCAAGCCAGTCTCATTGCGTTTGAGTGTCATTGGCCGATTAAAGGCTCTTACTCATTTAGATGGAGTCCAGATTACTGAAGAAGAGGCTGCGGCTGCTGTGTGTTTTATTGCTGGATCAAAGATCTCTCAGGTATGATGTTCCATTTTGCTATAACTTGTAGCAAATGCAAGATTAGAAACAAGAAGTTATAGGCACAATCTGACTTCCATTTTAAAATTTGTATTTAATCATATTTTTAAAATCGCCTAGTTTCGTATGCTCTGTGAAAATGCCATATTTTGTGCTCTCAGCAGCTGGCTGTGAAGCAGCAGTTATTTCACAAACATTGTTCTCACTCAGAGCTTCGCTGATATTGGGAATGATGCTGGTTCACAATGAAAGACATTTCATAATGTTAGATTTTAGATCATTTTGAAGTTGTTAAAAATGACCTTGTTTAATTTCAGCTCTGTTCAAAACACGGGAAATTAAATATGTTTGCCAAATTAAAAAAAGGATAAATCAAGTAGCAGAAAAACTGTCTAGGCTTCTGAGGCCTTGTGTACGTGGCAAGTTAGTGTGCAGTAAGCCAAGTGTGATCTACTGCGCACCAGTTTGCCACTCACTAATTCACTGTGTGGACACTGCTACAACACAGTAAAAGTCCTGGAATACGACTTAGCATTAGTGTGTGCAAGATGTTGCACTGTAGATTCACACCTTTGCTTGCTACACACTAACTCGCCATGTATGCAAACCCTGAGAAGGAATTCCAGACAGTGGCAAGCAACAAAAGGGCTAAATTATTTAACACTAATCTTCAAAAATCGTGGCCCAAATTCTATTCTTTATTCAGGTTTTACTCTGTCCGTTCTCCAACAATCCCTCATTGACTAGAATCGGAATTTGCTGGAGTAAGAACTGATCAAAAACAGAGTAAAGGCCTCAAGATTTGCCTCGATCATTTTTTTAATGAATAATAAACATTAAAAAATGGATGAGATTTATCACCATGTGTCAGATCTACTAGACCTATTAGATCTACAGAAGTATTAGATCTACTAACATATGATACAGGCTCCCAATCATAAGGAGATTAAGCCATAAAGCCCTTTTCTTCATGTTACACTGTGAAAAATGTACATTATTTATACCGTTATATTATCTATCTATTAAGTATTTTCATTTTGTCAGGCATCTCTTTTAGAACATTCTAGGACTGATGAAGCTAGACCACGCATTCTGAGTGTACATCCTTATGCCAAAATTCTGACTCAAATTAGCAAGAACAAGGTGGATTCACAAACACATTTCAATAGCAGCTGGTATCCTAGGGTAAGGCTGTCTCTATTAAATATAATGTATTAGGCCTTAGATTTATCTCTGTCACGTGTTTATTTTGTTATATTTGTTATGAGTTGATGCATGTTAATTAAAAATATATCTTTTTGAGCACTTAAACATGTAATCTAGTACCTGAAGTTAAGAATATAAAAACATAAGAGTTTCCATATCAGATCACAATCTTTTCTTCTGTACATACAACTTTTCTTGTGAGTTGGCAGGATATTGAAACTTTAATATTCAGTGTTCATGCATAGAATTTTCAATACTGAGCCCATATTACATGAAGAACGGTGGTAGGTCTAATTTCAGGCCTACACACATTGCCTCTTGTCTGGCATGACAACCTACAATTACAACTCCACTACATAACGAAAAGCCATAGAACACTACACAGGAAGATCCAAGTTCATCGTAGCCTGTCATAATCCATGTCCTGACCTCTCTTCTGAAATCATGTTAATCTGCCAAGAATAAAAGGTTAAAAGCTCCTCTGTCAGTTCAATTTGTTGTGTAGAGTATAGAATAGCTAGAGGAAAACACATTTCTGCTGATGAGCATAGTGTTTTATTCTGTGTGCATTAAGAAATGCACATTTACAGACATCGCCAAGAGAACCAACATTTCAGCATATGGTGTCAACGTTACACTTTGTGACATCAAAATGAAATAGGGTTCATACAGGGATATAGTATGTTATTGTAGAAAGAGAAAATCCTCTCCAAAAGGAATATCACCATAGACACAAGAGAGAACATAAGTTGTCCTTTGGCCATTAGCAGAGCCTGTATAAGAAACAGCTTTGAATTCTGTAAAGGTTGTTTAGCACCGGTAGGAGACAGTGCTGAATATCCTGGGCCACCGGAGACTCAACTTGCTAAATTAAGCTGTGTGGCCATTTTTTTTCATCATTGCATGATTGGTTAGCCTGATGAAGAAAACTGCAGCCTTACTCAGGGCTGGCATTAGACTCGCTGAGGCCCAGGGCAGAAACTAAGAAGTAGGCCCCCACAGAAGGCATTTGTGACGGTCTCTGGGAGTGCAGCCAGCAGTTGACACTGACCCACAGGCTGGATGACCCAGTGAGGTGAATCAGAGGGTGAAGGTGGAGCTCCCTCCCCGAGCCCTGTTGCCTGGGGTTGGGGCCCATAACTTAGCTTTGTGGGAACTCCGGTTGCGTCGGGCCCCAGGCAGTTGCCCTGCTTGCCACCCCCTAATGCCAGCCCTGGCCTTGCTGGTTGTTTTCTGAGAAAGGGTGGAATCATTGATTGGTTGCTCTCTTTCTGTCGAGTGTGTTGTGAAGTGAGTGTTTATAACCAGTGTCTGTGAAAGAAGGTTCTGTGATGACACCGAAGGATAAAAATGTGTTTGGAATCTAATTTCATTTGTTCCTGCCCAAGAATTTTGCAATGAAGAAAAATAGAATGAATTTGGGATGTTACAGGCATTAAAGCAAAAGGAATGCTTATCGGTGAATCAAAACTGTAAGGGATGCATCCTTCCTTAGCAAGCACTCAAACTCTGCCAGAACACTGAGCTAGAAAGTTACTATATACAGGGGGAAATCCTGATCCCATTGAAGTCATTATATGTTTTGCCATTGACTTCAGTGAGGCCATGATTTCACCCCTAAATCGTAGAATGAAAACATGTGTAAGCAGGCGAATCAATAATATAATCATATGTATGTGACATTGGTAGATGAGGTTAAATTAATCTTAATACTGAGGTCTGATCCACACGAGAAAAAATGTGTACCTGTTTATAAGCTGTAACTGCACAAGCGCATTTGGAAGCTGGTTAGTTTATATTGTGGAGTCATTGCTTGTTCTGGTGCAGGTTGCTGAGGTTTTGGTGTCGGTTTGGGATTTCTTGAGGGTTCAAAAATGAAGTCCTGAATTGCAAAATGAGGGCTCTGTGATGTCCAGTATCCAAAAAGAAATACCCTGTTGATATTACTGGGAAATGTCTATGAAAAATGTGAAGGCAGTATATACCTTGAGCATCTATGTTGGAATTAATTGACTTAGATCTTTCAATACTAAAATTGAGTTTTCTCACAGATCACGGTCTTAGATCTGGATGGACAACATCTCTCCAAAATTGCCAACTTGGAAAAATTAGAGAATTTAAGATGGGCCTCATTTAGCAACAATAATCTCACTAAAATAGAAGGACTGGAATCTTGCCTTAATCTTGAAGAGCTCACTTTAGATGGAAACTGCATCTCAAATCTAGAAGGTACTGTATTTAGGAAGTTAGTGAAAATCAAGATATTAAGTTAGACACAACATAAAGGTTCCCATATAGTCCAGTGTTCCAGAGGGTGGCTTTTTACTGTTAACTTTATCAGCTGCATACAATTTTAAAGCTTTCATATTAAAAATATATAATTGCCTTCTCTTTAGCTTTGTGGTGAGTCTTTAGCAGAAATCGACAAAGAGTCCTGTGGCACCTTCGTCTGACGAAGTGGATATTCACCCACGAAAGTTTATGCTGCAATACATCTGTTAGTCTATAAGGTGCCACAGGACTCTTTGTTGCTTTTTACAGATCCAGACTAACACGGCTACCCCTCTGATATTTAGCAGAAATGAAGAAAAGAGACAAAGCAGATGGATTGTGTTTCCGAAAAGCAAAACCAATTTATTTATGTTAATAGGAATTTTTCGGAACTGATAAGAGTGCATGATTTTTGGTATGTAGACTTACTGACATGTAACGTTCCTGCAGTGAACCATACATTTTCCCATGACAGTTATATGTTGGCTCAATAATTTCTAAAATAAGAAGTTAGTAAACTAATGATTCCAAAAGGTCAAAAATTCTCTTTTTAAAAGAACAGATTTACCTTATACACACTATATGACTATTCCAAAAACTATTGGGTAGCTGCTACATTTCCTCCTATCCCCACATAGGTCATGGCAAATACTGTTATTGTCAGTTGATTTTAAAATTAGGTTCATAGACCCAGATTTTTAAAGGTATTTGGGTGTTGCTGTACTCAGTGTTGTAGTGCCTAACGGAGTTAGGATCCTAAATGTCATTTTCTTAAAGTATACAGGCACTTAGGAATCTAAATACCATTGGCTGTCAGTGGCCTTTTGGCTCCTATGTGCCTAAATCCCTTTTGAAAATGATATTTAGGCTCCTAAATTGGTTAGGCGTTGCAGTGCTGAGCTCAGCAACACCTAAATACCTTTAAAAAACTGGGTCGTAGTCTTCTGTATAGTGCAAGAAAGCCCATCTGTAGCAGCATATGAAGGAAGAGGGAGCAAGGAAAAGAACCTGCTGCATGAGAGATGAGTGGACAGTTAATCCCTCCCCCTCACCATGCTCTTTGCTACTCCTGGAGGAAGAATCAGAGGGGTGAAGTGGATTGTGAGTAGCCTCTTTCTGGAAAATGTTCTAGCTATCACAGAAGAGCAGGCCACGAATGATCTCTCCTGATCCTGCCTATATTACAGCCTGAGTGTGCAAGCCAACTCTCATGTGTAGCTTGTTTTACCATCCAAGTTAACCACTTCTTTTGCTTCTCACTATATATGCTTTAAGAACATCTTATTTATTTTTCCAGGAATTTCAAAACTCACCAAACTAACACGACTTAGTGTAAATAATAATCATCTCACCACCCTGGAAAGATGCGTTTTTGAAAACTTGTCTCATCTTCACTACCTCTCTCTTGAGAGCAACAGAATTACTTCATTGGTTGGTTTGCAGAGAGCCTACGCACTAATAGAACTATACATCAGCAATAACTATGTTTCTACCTACCAAGAGATATATCATTTAAAGGTAAATGTGGACTTGATTGCTTTAGAACTTGCGGGTAAAAGTAAATTCACAATTTGCTTGTTACGTCAGTACAAATATATCTTTCCTGTTTTTAAATATGGGAAGCCACATTTTTTAAAATGGCTGCCTAAATTGTGCCTGCAGTGTTGCTGTAGCCAGGTCGGTCCGAGGATATTAGGGAGACAATGTGGGTGAGGTAATATCTTTTATTGGACCAACTTCTGTTGGTGAGAAAGAGACACAGAGCTTTTCTTCAAGTCTTTCTTCAGGACCTGAAGGAGAACTCTGTGTAGCTCAAAAGCTTGTCTCTCTCGCCAACAGAAGTTGGACCAAAACCTCACCCACCTTGTCTCTAAATTGTGCTTGACAGTCTTCTTTTCGCATATGCAATTTAGATGTCCATGTTTAAAAATTGGGCCCAGAGGAATTGTCCTTTGTAAGAGCCTTAGTCTGAACTTTCTTTTGGAATTGAGTGTGCTCACTACTTTGAAGGAGGTGCTGAGTAACTAACAGGATTGAACCCAGCGTTTTCCAGGGAGAGCCACACACCACGCATCTCTATTCTGCCTAGCCTAACTCTGTCATTAGAAGAATTACACTGGAAATAAATTCAAGAGCACAAGCATGCACACATGCAGCAACCCCAGTTCCTTTCACCTGGAGCTGCTGGCATATATACAAGACTGGGGGCCTGATTCTCACTCACAGCACTCTGGTAGTGTAAACGGACTTTAAACTGAGTGGAAGTGTAACTTACGCCCACTTTAAGGGTCCTTTACACTGCCAGAGTTATGTAAAGGCACCTTAGCGTAAATGAGAATGAAGCCCTGGGTTTTATTAAATGATGCTTCAGATTTGACACATGCAGTTGTAAGATGGAGAGAATGATTAAAGCTAAAGGGAGTAGCCTAGGTTTCATTCCTTACAAACATTTAAAAATTAAACCTTGATCTATGTGTCTTATTTCTCAGGGTTTAAATAATCTGGTCATGCTGGACATGTATGGAAATCTAATTGTGTGGAAACAAGATAACTACCGATTGTTTGTAATATTCCATCTTCCATCTCTCAAAGCCTTAGATGGCACTGCAGTAGTAAGTTATACTATAGATCATAAGATTATTGTAATTGTTGTTAAAACCACCTTTTTTACAAATCAGGATGGCATGGGCATGCTGATGATTTCTGACCCTTATTAACGCAATTACCGAATATTGTTTTAGTACATGTAACAAATCTGTAGTTTAAACTTAATTAGAGCATATGAACATTTCCATAATCTGTTCAATAAGAATATAGGCAACATTGATGGTATAAAGCTAAGGTGATGGTTGTGGAGACACTTTTAGTTTAAGCTCCGATTTTCAGGCACTTTTTTTTTTAACTACCTTTTGGGCTGAAAATTTTCACTCCTATCTTATTATTGTAGTTCTAGGTTTTCTTTAATATAACAAAATTCATTTTAAATGTCATTATACAGGAGACAGCAGACATCGAGAGTGCTAAAGATTTATTTGGTGGCAGACTTACCTGTGATATGATTGCAGAAAGACTAGGACATTCAGACTTCACTAAAATGCAAGAATTAAATTGGACAACCTCTACGATCAGGTGCAGTAATTTTCAAATGTGCACGGATATGTTACAAATAGCATTTAATATAATGGCTAGAAAAATATAATTAAAATCAGAGCCTAGGTTTAGATAATTCAGTTCATATGTGTCTCTGTATATGGGCAAAATCCTACTATACCATGCAAACAGCATGGAGGGGGCTTCAGCCAGTATTTCAGCCCATATACTGGAGAGGTTGCCATGGGAGTCTGCATACCTGCAGTGGGGTAGATTTCACTTCCTCGAGCCCTCAGCTCTCATACTTCACACATTTAAAGTGTAACTACTCAGACTTCATGTGGGTGAAGTGGATTTTGTCTTTAACATAGGAATTATATCAACTCTGTATTATACACCTGAGAAAACAGCACAATGTATTTATTGTAGATTTTTATCAGGATGCTCCTGTAAAAGGAAGGTGTTAGATTTCTGGTGAGAAATGTAACATCAGTAGACCTGCTCAGGAAATCTGTGTCGCATGATACCTTTTTCTGTAATTATTTTCTTTATCCAATTCAGAACGGTGGATCTTGTACCAGCAGACCAGTTTAGAAATGTTTGTAATGTGAATTTACAGAACAACAATCTCATCTCTTTCAGTGGTTTAATCTTCTTGCCTAATGTCAAGGTGAGTTAATCACTCATTCTGTGCTTTTCTTTCCTATTTTTATAGTGACAGTAAGTATCTTCTCTCTTTATATAAAATTCTAAATTTCTTTACTCCTGCCTGACAGATTTCTTTTATAATAGAGCAAGGGGAAATCTTTATTACATTACTTATATTATATACTAATTTATTAAATACAGCTTTCTAAAGTTATTTCAGTCAGCAGAATTCATACAGTACAGATGAGTCACAAAAAGACTAAAAACCACTTATTTAACCATGTGTTGAAATAAATTGACCACTAGCCTATCTATTGCATCAAGAATTTTTGAAACCCTGAATACCATTGATTCAGCAACCAATCTGTTGTTAGCTCATTATCTGAATTTGAAAGAGCAGAGATATGTTGTAACTGGCACCTTTGCTACTGTATTAGCAGAGCAGTGTTCTGTTTCATTTCATGTGGTTTGCTTTATGCAGATATTGTGTCTGAATTACAATCACATTGAATCAGTCCTGCCCAGACAAAAGCCTCAAAATCACTTAACAAACAGGCAGCAGTTGTACCAGAAAGTGACCTCTAGTGGCTATGGACAGCAAGGACCTTCAAAAGGAAGCAGGTACTGTCACATTTTAAAATGAACTTTTGTAATTCCTGTATTCTTTTGCTGAAAAAGGCAGTCCCTGGAGGACGACAAGCCTGGGATGCTCTCTTCTCCCCACCTAACTTGAGTGTCTTCTGGCAAGGAAGCCCGGTGGCCTTTTGCCACCCACTCAGGCATCTCTGACATCACTGGGAGCATCCAGCCGGTCTCTCTCCTAGGCTCTTTGGCTCACTTCTTCCATCCTCAGTTATTGGGATGGGAGGGGGACTGGCAGCGTAGGATTGCCCCCTCCCCACTCCCTTCAGGGGGGAAAGTGTGCTCCTCCCAATCTGCAACAGCAGTGGCTACTCCTTCAACTGCCACTGACCCTTTGGGCTGGTCTGCACTGGGGGGGGGAGATCGATCTAAGATATGCAACTTCAGCTACGTGAATAGCGTAGCTGAAGTCGAAGTATCTTAGATCGATTTACCTTGGGTCCTCACGGCGCGGGATCGACGGCGCGGGATCCCCCGTCGACTCCGCTACCGCCGCTCGCTCCCGTGGAGTTCCGGAGGCGATGGGGGGTGTCGTCGGGG